CAACTTGAGTAGCTTCTTGCAGATGGAACTGGTTTTATTATTTTAATTAAGGCATCTCTGTTCTGAGTTCAGATTTCTTTTTAAATTCTCCTATAAGCTGTGTGTAATTTCAGGTCTATGGAGAATGTGGTAAATCTCATCTACACAAAAACTTCCCTTCTCTTCTTAAAAAAAAAAAAAAAAAAAAAAAGAAAAAGCCTTTAAAGAGAACAAACTATGTAGCCCATAATCAAGTATTCAAGAATAACTTTTAAAAAGTTTTAAAATTTTAAGCTTGCAAATGTTAACTGTTTAAAATTAATCTGACAAAAAATGCTATTAAAATTTTAAGCGCTGAAAATACATTCAGAAAAGTTTAACTGTTTTGCATTGTACTGGCCAAGCATAAAGCAGCTGGTTCTCCTCTTTGGAGCTTAGGTATCCTGCTAACAGGAGCCTTCCAGTCTTACAGAGATCTTGCACTTGAAAGGAAGGGAGAATTGCAGGCATTCTCTTTAAGAGAAGCAGTAGAAACCCATTTTTCATGGAGTTACAGGAACCCAGCTGCAGAGCAGAAGCCAAATGAAGTCCAAGAAAGATCTCTCCCTTACAGGATACACAGAGAAAAATGATATGTGGTGTAGCAGGTAGCTAGAAGTGTATCTTCAGTAATGAACTGTTTTCTGAAAGTGATTTTGGGTCTCTAAGAATTGTTTATTTCATAGTTCTTTTATGTCAGTATGACATACTAATACTTGCAACGGTTATATAACCCATTGTGCTGGAAGATTTCTTTTTACTGTTTGCTGAATCTAAAATATTCTAATTGGACATGAAAATATATGTGAAGGCACAAGCGTGTGGTATGTCAAGATTGTAATTCATGTCTTTTGATATTTGAACTTGTATATTTTTGCAGCTAAAACTTTCATACCCAAGAACTTGTTTTGAATGCTTCATAGAAGCATTGATGCAAGGACAAGATTGTAATTCATGTCCTTTGATATTTGAACTTGTATATTTTTGCAGCTAAAACTTTCATACCCAAGAACTTGTTAAGTCAATCTGGTCTAGATACACTATTGCAAATATGTGCTAGGTGCTTGTTATATTGATGAACAGTAAAAGTGTGACTGTTCCTACTAAAAAATGTGTAAATTGTTAGGGTGTATCTGGGAGCTAGCCATTACATAACAGACCGTACATCTTGTGGTTTGTAATCTTGCTTTCTTCCTTGGTATCAATACTCAAATACGTAAACATATTTTTATTATCTTACCAATTTAGTATGCTGAAATTCTTACAGACACCACACTGAATTTAGTTGTCTCTGCTTATGTGGCTTTTCACGTATCTTGGTGTAAAGAGACATTGGCAGAGATCTCTGATCTTTTATAATTTTTACTCTCAGAGGTAATCTCTTTTAGTCTGAAATAAGATCTGCAAAATATAGCTTCAGGTCACCTGATTTCTATCACATGTCACAGTCAGTTTGTTTACTGTTCATTGCATGGGTCCCATCTGAAGATGAACTCCTGTTGACAAGTTTTAAATTAGAATTAAAGTATCGCTGTCTCCATAAATCTATTCTGAGTTGTTACTGAAGTGAGAGCTTGAAGATCTGTTGCTTTCAGTTTGATTTATGACAGTACTGGTTGCCATGCAACAATTCATTTGTGTTCCATGATAAGATAGGGCAATATTCTCTTTTGTATATAGTTCCGTGGAAGATGAGTTTCAGTTGCTGCTGGGGAGGAAGCATTTGCTAATGCTGCAGCACACGGTAGTGTGGAGGTACATACGTGATTTAATTTGTAACAATGCCATGAGCGTGTCAGTACTGAACGCTGACAGACGTGTATTTACGGTTCAGGCCTTTCAAAATGGTAGGTACTGTTGCTCCTTGAGCGTCTCACTGGCCTTTTTTTTTTCTGTTTAGTTTCATGAAGTACTGATATTGAGCCTTACTGTGACAGTTTCTTGCTAGACCATTTATTCTTCCCCTTGCTCCTTCTCCCTCAAATCCCCAGGCACTATGTTGTGCTAGGAAGCAATTGCATAGCATAAGATAATGAGTCTTCAGGACTCTGTTTTGTCGTGCAGCTGTTTCTTAATGGCTGGATTTGAAGTTCAGTGGAGGTGTAAACTAGTCTTGTGGAGAAGAGAACATGCAGTTCGTAATGCTTTTTATGGAGGAGTAGCTCCTACATTTGTTTGTTTGTTTTATAGTCTTGAAGAAAAGGGAATTATATTTGCATAATCTTAGCATGTGTTTGCATTAACTGTAGGTGTGGAAGAAAATATTCAAGAAGTAGTTGGGCACATCACAGAAGGTGTCTGCAGGCCTCTGAAGGTGAAGTATTTTGTTTTCCTTAGCATTCTAAATATAAAAATTGTTCTGTCATGTTTTTCCAGAACCTCTGTCTGCATCTCTACAATGTATTTTCATCGCCCTTGGTTAAGAGTTAGATTCTCAACTTTGAGAATCATAAACCCCTTCAAAATTAAAAATTCCATAGTTCAGAGATATCTGGTTTAAGTAGTCATATAGTGAGAGATACTAGGATACTAAATCTATATCTTGATTTTATTTTACTTTTCCTAAAGTTCAGGAGTGCTTATGTACAAAAATTTAGCTTTGGGGTAAGAATATAGGAATGACTATAGTGGGTCAAATGAAAAATCAATTTAACTTACTACCCTGTTTTTCATAGTGACCATTAGCATATGCTTAGGGAATAGTGTACAGATTGTGCATTTATGTCATGATACTTCTGCAGAATCATTTCCTCGCCTGTTTGTGGACGTACTAAGGACTTAGTAAGCCATAGCTACTGTCTTTGTATTAATAGACATTGGTAGGTTTTTCTTCTTGAATATGTCAAGTTGATATAAAATGTTGGTATTCACAACATATCCTGCAGGAGGGAAGTGCACAGTTTAACTATGCTGTGTGAAAAGCCAGCTCCTTTTGGTTTTTTGTTTAATAACTCCAGCTCTTGTATTGAAAGGGACCATGAAAAATTATTTCCTACTTTTCATCTTTATGCTGCCGTGATTTGCTGTATTTCTGTCATATCCCTCCACAGTTGTCGTTTTTCAAGGTAGACTCTTAATCAGTTTAGGGGACCCATTTGATGGAAATCATTAATAGTGATCCATCAAATGAATGACTGCCTTATTTATTGGACGTTCTTCATATAAGCATAAAATAAAATATCCTAGGTGATGAAGCTGATACCAGTAATTGCCTGACTATGCTAGTTCCATCCAGTGTATAAATCCAAGTGTTTTTTAAAGTAAAATCTAGTGTACTAAATACTGTTCTAATAAATTTCTCTTAAGATGCTGTAGGTATAACAACTGTGTCCAGTTGCCAAATACTTAGTTAACAGGTAGGTTCTGAATACTCTACATAGGTTCCTGTTAAGAAAGAGAGAAGGTCTGAAGAGAGGTAAAAATCAAGAAAATGCCATTTAGAATATCACATAATCACAGAAGGGTTGAGGTTGATGGGGACCTCTGGAGGTCATCTGGTTCAAACCTGCTACTCCAGCAGGGCCACCTAGGGCCAGTTGCCCAGGACTGTATCCAGACGGCTTTTGAATATCTACGAGGATGGAGACTCCACATCCTCTTTGGGCAACTTGTGCCAGTGCTCGGTTACCCTCACAGTAAAAAAATGTGTCGTGGTGTTTAGACAGAACCTCCTGTGTTTCAGTTTGTGCTCATTGCCATGATCATCCTTCACAGCCTTTAGTTTTTGACCTGTTGAAAAACACCTGTCACATTAGACAAACAAACAAATATCACAGCTTTTTTTGAAGATATTTTCCAAGCTTTCTGTGTTCTTGCATTCTTTCTTTCTGTTGGTACTGAATGCTGATGTTTGAGTTCAGTATTTCTGTGCATTCCAACAAAGTAGTTAGGGATAGAATCAAACCTTTGTGTAAGTCAGAGGGAGTTTTGGTCTTGATTTGAGTACTTATGATTTGTACAGTTTCATACAGAATACCTGCCGTTTTGATTGCCAAAATCTTTATACTTATGCGCTTTTGTTATCTGTAGAAATACCCCCCGAAATATTGTCAGTAGTTAGTTACTGTGCTAATAAAAATAAAAAAACTAAAAGAACAATTAAAGACTTCCCATTGTATTCTGTATTTTAATAGAATGCAGCTTATGTTAATTCACTGCCAGTCTAGACTTCCCAATGTAAAATACGCAGTTCTTACTGTTTCCCCTGGGGAAATGTTCCATAGAAAAAAAAAAAAGCAGAAAAAAACCCCCAAACCCCCAAGCAGAAAAGCCTTCATAGAGTGCAGTTAGATAATTGCAAGCCTTCATGTTGAGAGGAACAACAAAAGTAGGCTCAGTTTGGAGGAGTCTTTTCTACAATACATTGTTCTTTCTGAAGATTGTCCACAATAAGAAAAATAACTGCATTAAGTTCAGGGAAAACACTCTCTGTTGTAGTCGTATGGCACCACAATATACTGCTTTTCTGGTGGATTTCTGCTGAAGTTTGCAAACCTGTCACTTTGATTTGAGTTGATGCTGAAGTATAAAATAGCCTGATAAAAGCCTAGTCGTAGTATTTCCACAAGCACATTTAAATACTTACAGAATTATGTAGAATTTTCTTACTGGTTTATGTGTTTCCATGTGAATGTACAATATGATACAGTTTCCTTACTTTTGAAGAAGGATTATGTTTATATGCAGTATAAATTGTCCACATTTCTTACTGATAGTTGGTCTGAGTTTTAGGCATCCAAGTGAATCTTGAGTACTCGCTAGTGGTAGATCTTACCACAGGCCTGTCATTTCAGATGGAAGTAGGAGGACCCTAAAAAACGTTTAAATTAAGGTCCTCATCTTTTTCATAGCACTTAAGATGAGGTCAAAACTAACAAAATGTTTTTGATGCCTTACGTAGACCTCAGATGGTCTTTTATGGTCAACTGACTACAGGACGCATAGGATTAGGAAACGGTAAGACCTATAAGTCAAGGACTTCCCTGAGCAGGTTAGGTTGAGTCGCTTGCAAATTTTGGTTCTCCTATGCAGTGAAGATTGCTGTATGGGAAGCAACAGTGCTTCTTTTCCTGCTTTGTTTTTTTAATTCTCATTCTTGTTTTCCTAACCCTAAAATCTTTTGGCTTTTTTTTTTTTTCCTCTCCTTCTGCCTATTCTGTCTTTTTCTTAATTCTTTTCTTTATTATTAGTTATTGCTATTTTTTTGTGTGTGTGTCAATATTTTGATTGTCCTCTTTTTCCCCTGCCTTTCTTATTTATTTTTTTTTTGCTGTACACCTAGAGTATACTCAGTATCTGTGCCCAAATGGCCTTTTATGCAACATTGGAGACAGGTATTTGTATCTGTACCACTGTATATACATATGCATTGAAGAGTGAAGTTCACCTGAGTGTTGAAATTAACGTGGTGCATTGAGCTTTGCGAATAAAAGTCAACAATTTTTCTTTGGGTTTGGTCCCTGACTTAGATGCAGAGGGGGAGGATTGAGGAAGCATAATCTTAGTTAATTCTCCCTGCAGCTGGCTCTGACAAGAAGGCACTGCTGCACATCATGCTCCATTGAACAGCAGACAAATAACTTGGGAGAGCGGGTGGTGGCTGGTGATTTGTGTGTAGCCCTTTCACACACAGGCACGTGGGTGAACAGTGCAGTGATAAGTCACTGTCTGTCACTGCTTCATGAGTGCCCAAAGATTGACCCTGGGGCAGCCTTTTATGAGTGGATTGAGACTGTGTGTACCATGGAGACAAGACATCAACTGTCCAAGTGTAAAGAAAGTCGGCACTGTTTGGTCTGTGTAGCCAGTTATCTCCTGGTTGAGATAAATAGTCAACATAGCTAGTCATTAGTTATAAATGTATCTAATTACATACCAATAGCTGGTATATAATCTTTCCTTTAACTGAAGGAGAGATTATTCCAGGTGAAATTTTGTCTTTTGGGTAAAATACCTAATACTTTGGATGTTCTGAATTGCAGCATGATGCTAATGATCAGCTGTTGTAGTTTAGGGAAATTGCAGCTCTGCAGCTGTTCTTGCTATACAGCGCTGGGGAGAATTCCAGTATGTACTGGTATTAATCCATCAAATGATCTCATTATTTTGAAATTTTCAATAACAAGTTGCAAGAAAAATCTATAGAGAAATAGGGTTTTTGTTTTGTTTTCGTTTTTTTAAAGAATACATACACCTGCTTGTTTTCTACCCAGAGACTTGGCAGCCTAGAAGCACTTCGGATCAAGCAGAATGTTATAGTTAACTGGACATTCTCTTGTTAAATTTATTTCTGGTTAAATTTGTTTTTCAAAAATCTGACATATATTGCATATAAAATCATAGGGATTGGCTTTTGGAATGTATGACCTAAAGGATGCTTGTATTTCTTTATTTTGCAGGTTAGAATTGAGCAGGTGATTGTTGCTGAGCCAGGAGCAGTTTTACTGTACAAGATTTCTAATCTTCTCAAGTTCTACCACCATACAATCAGGTATGCAAAATTACGAAGTATATTAAAGATGTGTCTTTTTTTTTTATTGTATAAATAAAGATTAATATAGTAAAAAGAGTATTTTCATGGCTTAGTTTTTGTTCTGTACTATGGAATCGAGGAGAAATGTGCATGATATCAAGGAGATGCCATTTATCTGTTGTCATTCCTCAAGTCATACGGAATCTGCTTTGGAATATAGCATCAATTTGCCACAGAAACTGTTTCTTAATCGTTCTGTGTAGATACAAGTAGTATACAAAAAAACCCACATCATTTAAGATGACAAAGTCAAGTCCCCTTTGAGAAAATGATAGAATTAAATTATCTCTCTCTAGAACTTCAATTTTTCTTTTCTTCCTTAAACAACTATGTTTTGATACCATTTTTTCTAATTACGCACTTGCATTGTTCTATTGGGAAGATACTTCCGTCATTGTGTATCTCGCTGTTGAAGGTGCACCAATCATCTTCCAACATTCCAGATGCCACCAGGAACACAGAAACCTGAGAAAAGGCAGAATCTCTGGTTTTATACACTGTGGCATTTGCAGTAGTTCCTATTGCTTAGAAACAGCAGTAGCAGGAAAATTTTCCTCCACAGCCTTGGACTGAACTGCTGAGAATTAGAATTACTAGTATTAGTATTTGAGCTTCTTTTCAGTTTGAAAAGACATTTAGATGTTGGTCAGACTGGGGTAAGTGGTTCTTAGGCATCTCCCATGGTATTTAAAATCCTCAATTGTGATGGCACTACAGGTCTATGGTAGAACACGTATAAGAGCTTTTTTTTTTCCTTTTATAATATGGAATAAAACATTTTATTCCTAATCTTACTGTCAAAAACAGCTGAAAGATTTTTGCTGTCATTTTTCTGTCTCCAAAGTTTGTGTTTCCCAGTGGTTATAAAGCTTTGTGCAATTGAAAATGTGATGTTAAAATGGAAGGTTTTAGGCAGTCTTATCTGTTTCTTTCTGTCTTGCTAACGATACATTGTTTAAAGACCACTGAAGTACCTTCTGTCAGCTGAATAATTTCCTCTGTATAGAGGAAGTGCACCTGACTAATGAAGGGAAAATCCAATTTGAGAAATTATCTATTAAATGCAACAAGTTTATAATCTGAAAATCAAGCTACAAGTTTAAATTAGTCCTATTAAGATGCAATGAATTTTTACTGCCATTTTTGTAGCTTAGAAGCACTTTTACTTTAGACAGAAGGTATATCCATGAGAAGTGCATAGTCATGTAGCGTCATTTAAAGTTTATGTGGTATTCATGCTAAGTGTAATAACTTGACACTTGGAATAGCGAGTCATGAATTCTTCTATTTTTGGAGATGCCTAACATCGCAATGAAGAAACAAGAGACTTGATACTATCCCTGAAGGACAATTTGACAGAATAAAGTTATCAACCCTTTTTGTTTACGTAATCTGTTTTCTATAACAGAAGTAGATTTACAGAATAACAAAACAAAAATCCAGTAAATTTTAGAATTCTACTAAAAAGTTTGTGCAAAGCTTTAGATAGCCTGTACTTAATATCTGCTTAATGACATAGTTGATAATGCTTGTTCTCACAGTCATTTTATGAGTGAATCTCTCGGCTTATATGGAGAACTGTTCCCTGCAATTATTTGTTGTAAATTTTCAACATTGGAAATCTACAATTTGAAATGCTGTCTAACGTATCTGACCCTGTCATGTTCCCCCCCTTCAGATTAGTTAATTAATCTTAATTTTGTTTTCAGTGGTATTGTAGGAAACAGTGCAGCCACACTGTTGACAACAATTGAAGAAATGCATTTGTTGAGCAAGAAGATATTCTTTAATAGCCTGAGTCTTCATGCAAGTAAACTAATGGACAAGGTTTGTTTCAAAATCATACAGCTTTCATGTTACAAAACACACTCTTTTGTATAGTAAGATTATTAGATGAATAGCTGTTTTATACTTCAGCTTTTCCTAAAATTGAAGTTTTGTAGTTTCTATGTTCTAGCTATGGAACTACATAAAAAACTTCCTGTTTATGTTTTAATTCTTCTAATAGTTTTATTTTTGTGAAAAAAGGACTAAAATACTGTTGTTAGCAGCATTTGTTTACAGAGCAACAGAGCAGTTTACATATTTTTAAAATCTATGACAAGCAAAAAAATCAGGAAATTTCCCCAAGTGCAATATAGCAAAGTCAGCTGATTGAGCTAGATAGTTTGTATTAATGCATCATCAGATCAATAATTAATTATTCGTGTGCGTAATTCCTTTCTTGAAGTTATGAAGTATATTCCAACATGGTAAGCTAAGTAAAAACAAAACTTGGACTTTTTTGTCTTTTATAAAAATAGTTTTACCACATGAACATTGCTGCCATTAAAAGCAGAATACGCATTTGTTATACCAAACAACTGTACCTAAGCCAGAATCACTTTCCTGGTATCTTTTCCTCTCCTGGTGGTTGCTTTGAATTGTGTTTCAGTGAACTTCCCACTGTTCAGTAGCTAATACAGTTCTTGTTAAATTCTCCCTGCTGTATTCATATCATGTTGCTGTTGGTAGATCTGCCCATTAAATCTTACCTTTCTAAAATCTAAGCCAAGTCAAAGAAAATTGTTACATTACACATCCCTCTCCATTTCCTAGGGATCTGATCTTCATCCAGCGTCCCTGACTGACATGTGATGAGTTGACTAGGTCCTAAAACCAAGAAGAGATGCCTTTCTTTATTCCTAGTTATTGCACAACCCTAGAGTTCAAAAAAGCCCTCACATTACTGTTTTTTCCAGTTTAAAAAAAAAAGTTTGAAAGTGGAAAACAAACAGCGAAGTTTTGTAAACGTATTGCTAAATTATTTGTATTTAACCTACAAGAAAAATCAAAAAAATCCGTAGATTTAAAGAAACTATTCTTTGTGCAAAGCTTTGTACTTCACTGACCATTCAGTGGCATTTTCTGAGTTTGGTCAGTGTTGTTCTGTGGTCTCAAAGTAGTTTTCTCATTCTGCACAGTTTGCATCTGGTCCCAATTTCCTGCCTTTCTGCAAGGGCTGAGGGATGACTTTCTCAAAGGAACAGTTGTTCCTCCTCATCTTCTTTTCCGTATATCCCAGTGACTCCTTTCAGTGGTTTCATTCGTTCATCAGGTGACTCCTTAGTCCTACCACCCACAGTCCCTACTACTAAAGTCCACTTAGTACATTGTTGTCATGAGGTATTTCCATTTGAATGCAGTGTCATCAGAATAGTAGTTCCTCTGCTACTAATGCTTCCTCAAGCATAACAAGCTTATGGCTTGCTATGGGCATATGCTAGCTGTATATGAATTCCTCAGAACATTTTATTTCCTAATACATAAGCTAGAAGAAAATACCTGTGTACTTGTTCCTTTTGTGAAGAGAAATCAGTGATAGACCTTTGCAAAAATATATGACTGCTCTTTACTTACAAAGAATGTGCAAACAAAGTAGTGCTTAAGGAAAGAAATTTTCTTGGCTTGAAACTGTAAGACAGCTCTGTATTCATCTCTGTTGTATTTAGCTCTGTTTTATTTATCCTGTTGGGTCTTACATCTGACTCAAACAAGATCCAGCATAATTTTTCTGCTCACATAACTCAATCTTCTGTACTTTTGTTTTGGGTGATATGCTGTTTTCAGTTTGGAGATGAGTAGAATTCAGAAGGCAAAGAAGGAGTGATAAAGGAATTGTGATCCCCCAGTTTGTAGTGTGTGTTCTTTGTACTGCCACTATGGGAAGATTGTGTAATCCTCTTTGCCCTCTTAGTTGCCCTTCCCTCAGCCTCCAGCCTGGATGTAACTGGCTCTAGATGCTGCCATTGTTTTATGAAGGAGTCTAATTTAGTTTTACTGATGTTAAATGAAGGCAGTGATTGCAATGCCGCCTTCTTTGGCACTTTATTACGAATGATGAATGGCATACCGAGCATACCATGTAATGTAAAAAGATCATAGTATTGCCTTTTCTCATAAACATATTTTATAAATTAAATCTGAAAAATTGAAAATTTTACATTGCGTATATGGCCTACGAAGATCTTTCCTCAGGATATAACTGAGGTCAAAAGGTTCAAGAGACTCAGAAGAGGATTAGATATATGAGTAACAAAGGTATCCACAATTATTTATTGATCTCTGTGCTTCAGGAGTTAACAACGAGGTAACTCTGTGGGTGAGGAGTCTTACTGTACTGATGTGTATAGTTCTTGTAACTGAGAGTTTTAGACAGTCCTTTGAAGCATCTTATATTATTTCCCTTTATGGGTGGACTACTAAATTGATAGAATGATGTCTTATCTCCTCATGACTGAAATTAGTTTTGCTTCATAAAAAATACAAAATTAATAGGCTGAATTACACTCAGAGAAACATTAGTTTCCATGAGATAAAGACCCTATTTTATCATAAATGTAATTCTCCTGTTACTTAGTTTATTGTGTGTTAATATACACGTAACCAGCTTTTATGCCTTTTCATATGTCTTCATTAATTTAGTAGTGAATGTCACAACGCTTTTACATTTTGAGGAATCTCAAGGTTGCTTTTTATCATCCTTTTTATTAATATGTGTTCAGACCAAAATTGTGTATATGTATTAGTAGGATTCTCTTCACATCCCAACCTTTTTGCCAGCTTTTTGCTAACGATATATGCACTGCAACTGCTTCCAGAATTTTTTTTATTTTCAGAGAAGATTAAAGCACTGGAAAACAGACCCTTTGTGCTTACATATGCAATTGCAAAGGCTTCGTTGCTGCTCCTGTTATGCACAAAGAGCATACTCAGTTGTAAAATTAGTAAATTACTTTTCACTTGGACAGTCTGGAAATCATGGTTCCTTATTTCTGCTTATGTTTTGCATCTTAAGGCATTGATAAGCCTGTTTCAAAGAATATCAGCTGTCCATTACTTTGATTAAAATATGCTTCTTAAGGCAATGTAAATAACTTTGAAAATAGATTAAAATACAAATAGGGTGTTCTTAAATACAAAATATTTTTATTTCTATAAACTTAAGTGCTTCTTTTGTTTAGATCGTTAGAAAGTGATGAATATGTGAGTTACATGATTTTAATGATAGTATTCCCTCAGCGTCATCAGTTGTTGCTGATAATCTGAAAATCATAAGCAAGGAATTCTGAAAGGAAATTAGTTCTACAATTTTTATTTAATTTAAAGATAATTTAAGTGTTTTCTTAATTGCTGTTTGTAGCTACAAAATTCCAGAAGACTTAGTCATAATTACTAGTGAATTTGTAACTTGACAGGAGTCTCTTTAGCCCTGTGCAGATTCTCTTGTGCTGTAGTGTGGGGATAACTGTCTAGAAACACTGGTGTGTTACTGTGTCTTGCTGTGGTACGCTTTTTTAACATCTACAGTCTGTCTATTAGTTGATAGACCAGAATAGTATTTAAGTAAATTTTTCTCTTAAGTACAGCTAGTTGGGAACATTTTTAGACAAAGCAGGTTTCATTAAATAAGCTAACTCCTCAAGATCCCTTCCTTTGGATGTGTAGGAATGACAGGATGGTAATTTGATGTCCTGATGTCCTCATCACCACAGGCTATTTAATTCCCTAGGTTATTGATTATGCTGAGTTGAGCATTGCCTTCAAACTGCCTGGGATTTGATATCTGAAGCATAATGGGAAACTGAGACTTCAGGCTGTTCTTTCTAAGACAAGAAAATAGCTTCCTCTTCACATCTATTTTTGAGAAGAGTCCCATATTACATAAGGAGTGTCACGGGCACAGAACTGTATGGAAACTTAAAGGCAGTCTTAGATCAGGATTCTCCCTCTTGGTTGTCAAGCCATCAGTGTAAATGATACAGGGAAATCCCTGGTTACTTCAGAGTACTTACTGGCTTGCTCAGAAACACTTCCCTGTGAACATTTTTTTCATCACATCAGAAAATCTCAAGCATCCTGGTTGTAATCTGAAAATAAGGTAGTCAGCAGTTCTCACAACTTCAGACTCTTCAGTCTGAGAAACCCTTTTTATGGTGTTCTCATTCAGATTTCTCAGGTAGCTCCTTACAATCTGAAATCTATGTAACAGAAATATTCAGCATACTGCCTGAAAGTAAGTCCATTGTTATCAAAGAAAGCCAATACGCAAGGGAGTCTCTTTGGCTCTGATTCTCCTCGAAACCTGTCGTGAAGCTTGGAAACAGTCATTGCAAAGCCACTTTGTTTTCAGGGTTTAAAATGCCATTCACAGCTTTGAGAGTCTCAGGTCATCATAGAGCTCAACGCTGTCATCATATAGAAGCTGTGCATCATCACCCTTCTCCTGTGTCACTGAAGGTTCAGTGCATCAGCTTTTACTGCAAACGCTGTCTCTCCTTTGCATTGTTGGCTCTTACCCTTCGGAGGCAGTGTTGGGCAGTCTTTCCAGTGCTTTCTAGCTCTGGTAACAATCGGTTTGTTCTGATTGTTGGTTCAGCCAGGATGTTTCTTGGCCAGTGTTAGTGTCCCCATGCTGAAAAATCGTGTTTGTATTTGTTTCTTTTTAGCTTTCTTGGACCCAGCCATGGGTCTACCAGCCATGCTAGTAAAGCAGATCAGAATTATAGGTTCAATCCTTATGTATCCTTTTATGTGTTTCCTTTGACCCTGCGCTACTAAATCAAATGTTTAGGGTTGTGGGATTCTGCTTGTGTTACTCACTGGATCTAACTAAGAACAGCCGTTAAAAGATTACCATTTTACAGATGATGATAAATCCAGGAGAAAATACTACATGAAAATAATTATCAGAACAACAGAAACTGTTCCAATGAAACTGGAAGCAAAGTTCAAAGCGCCTAATGCGCTGGAGTGGATGGACTGCTCTTTCAGTTCTCTCATACTGAGAGAATTGTCATTTAAAATCATGAGTCCACTGGTGAGGCATTTTAACAAGCCTGTTAGACTAACCTATGCCAGCATGCTTTATTGGACCAGCTAATACAGTAGGAGAGTGGGAATTTTCAAGCACACCTGTCCTTACTCTGGCTTCAGTAGTACTCCAGAACAATTATTAAAGGAAAGAACAATTGCAAACATTGAATTAAATGGAATGAGAGTTATAAGGGTACTAAAGAGAGATTACGCCAAACTAACCTGTCATCTGCTGTCTGAGCTGTTAGAAGACTATTAGTAGAGTACTCCAAATCAAGTTTTGGGATTGTTCCTTAATGCTGTTCTTTTTAGAGTAGATGTATGCAAATTAAATGCTGTGATCACATTATCTGTTAAGTTTGTTAGTGGGAGAAGTATTAAAACATCGCATGGGAATAACTGTAAACTTCCCCCTCATAATTTGATTCCTGTCAGAATGAAACCTATTAGGTTTCTGGGAAACCAGCTATGGGGCAGATTAAATGAGACTGGTTGATGTTGTGATCTGAAGCCATTGTGGTTTTGAATGGATCCATGTGAACAAAGCAAAGCTAGCAAGAATTTTTCTTTTGAAGAATTTTGTCTTTTCTTTCAAGACCAACATGATAGCTGAAAAGCATGCCATTAGGCATTCTGCTTTGGTGATCTCTGTAGGATCCTAATAGGGCTCAAAAGAGCTCAGAACAGCTTCTCTGAAGCTTCTCTGGTAGATGTGCACTTAAGTTCTTAGACTGCTGCTGTTTAACTATGGTGAATATTGTCTCAATTTGTAGATTGAACTTCTGTAGTTGATGCTAATCAGTTGTAACTGACAGGATGAAACATCTAGATACCTTTTAACAAGGTTCCACATCTGTAGTGCTTAGTCTCTACCCCCTGCCAGTGAGGTTTTTAAAAGATTGCATTAAAAGCTGATTAGGCCCTTAAAAAAAGCCACCAACCTTTTGTTTGTCACTCTAAGCAGTGCTTTCTCCGAGTTCTGTGTTTAAAATTACCTTCTTGTTTTACTTAATACTAGTATCAGAGAATTGCAGAATGGCTAGAGACTAA